TGGCGCAGCATAGGAAGATGATCGTTATAAATTCTTTCGCATATCTAAGTATTTTAATGATCAGAGAACACCTTTGCAAATAGTATTTACAAATCGCAATGCGCAGGCCTTGGAAACAACGCACGGTCAACGCTACCTTGATGTTTTAAAAACCACCTGCTTCCTCTGAGGCGACCGGGCCGTAGTGGCAACGGCGGCGGTGTCTTCGGCAATCTTCGGTTCGACCCGAGGTCCGCCGGGAATTCGTCCAACTCCTCTGGCCCAACGTAAAGGTCGATGACTACGCCGGGGTCCCACCCCAGCCGGTATGAACAATGTCTCACGGGTATCGGAACGCACGACGCGTGATTGATGTTCGTCGGCAGTTCTAGTCTTTCAGCGACCTTTCTCAACTTTGTGCAGAATATCCGTACAGTACTGCCACTGTTATATTATACCAGGCGGGATTATGACACGAGCCACGCGGCCACACGATCTCCTGTCTTATTGTTTTTATCAGCTCTGGTGCGCAATTCTACTTCCACAATCATCTGATTGTTAATCCTTATCAAACCTGGTTTCCACACTCAGCGGCCACACTCAGTCCAAACTGCACTTAACAACGAAAATAAATCTCTTGGACGCAGCACTGCCCGTCCGTGCTTCCCTCGAGGCCTCTCACGCACCACTAACCGTCGCTCGCCTTGCCGTCCCCCCGCGTTTAACCGTTGGTCGCGGCGGAGCGGCGGCGTTACTGAGCTGATCAACTCCAGTACTTTATTTAATTGATAATTGGTGATCATTGTAATTGTTCTAATTACAGAAACGTTCTTCGTTCAATATATATTGTAACTTTATCGTTTAAAATCTCCTTAATATATTTTATGATAATAGTATATTTACCTGATTTCTCTACGTCGTCAAAATAATGGTCTAAGTTGCAGCCTTCTGCTCTAGTAGAATATAAAATTTTCTTGTATTCGCAAGGTAAAAATGCTGGACTTAGCTTGGTCCGAAGTTGTTTCCATTTCTTGCCTGAAAATTGGAGGCAATCACTGAGTTGTTGTCTAAAAAGATCCTATGTTTGACATGGTCATATATTAAAATCATTGTGACATTTTATGACATCTTACGCTTATTGGAAATTATTGCGATAACACTTTCTCCAATACAAAAGTGTCTAACCCTTTGATCCAACAGCGTCTCTGAAAAAAGTCCTAGAGATTGAAGGGGTGAAAAGCCTCTGTCTTCAAAATGTCGCTATCTTTTATTTACGATCTGTTTTCCACGTTCAATATCTTTTTCACAAACAGACCGGTTGATCGAAGAAAAAATTCCACATACGGTTGGTCTTTCATTCTATAAAGTATAATAAAGACATCAATGAAAAGTAGAGAAACACCTGAAAGAAAAGTAAATTGTCCTTGCAAGTAAACATTTGCCAATTACAACTCTGTTTCGTCAGTGAAGTGTAAATACCATACCAGTTAAAACTGTCACTGTTAATTGACACTGAATTTATACATCACTAACAGGACTGTCTTCGATTACTATCAAGAAATTCTGCCCGTGGAGAGGCTCCTATATGGGGGACAGTGAAGTTTCACTTCTGGCCGTTGAAATTATTCGGGCCCTTTTAATAAGTGGAAAATGGTCACGCATACACGAACCTTGTGTATTTAGAGTGATAGCAGTTTTAAAAACTTAAGCAAAAAGAAGGACGAAAAGTAATTTTCCAGCAATATATCTTGGTACTCTCTAGATAAAAAGTAACGTGGTCATCTTATATTTACACTATAGGCAATATAACATGAACCATCATTTCGAAATTAGACCCACAAATAAATTTCTAATTAAAATAGATGTAGGTACACTCATACATAAATCAATAATCAACTTCTACAATCGTCTCTGATTTATGCCTACCTCGTCTAGTAAAACTCTGTCTCAACATATTTCTAAAAATTACAAAAAATAGAAAACAAATATTTACGTAAGTTCATAAGTTTATTTCAAAGACACAGTTTCATAAAAAATTAGAATTAGTGACCTCTGGTCCAATATGTCAAAAAACTACCTATATACTTTTTCTCCAATCTGTCAACATCACTTTGCGCAAGAACATTCCGGCTAGGTAAAACAAAACTAAGTTGCCGCAAAGCAGAATTAAGTAAGTTTATTTAATCCTGTACATACCATGAATGAAGGTCACTAAATGACAATTGCGGGATCGTTGCAAACTGACAAGATTACGTAAAACCTCGCTGTTTAACATTAATATTGAATGGGAAAAATAAATATTTGAAAAATTTTAAGCAAATGAGTTGGCTCCGATCGCTAAGGCAGTAGTGCTGTAGCGGTCTTGGACCAGAAGATCGCGGGTTCGAGTCCCGCCTCGGGGAATGGTGCGTTTGTGTACGTTTGTATATGTGTGTTATCCTTCACAATTGACATCGTTTCATATTCCATACCCCCAGGGCTAATAATTCTGGAGGTAATAATCTAATCTAGCTGAGTGCTGATCCCATGATAAAATTACTTGCACCGGCCATCGAAATAATGTTACTGAACCAAGTAGATGCAGGGTGCACTCACGCGTGGTTCAAGTTGGTCTATTCGTGAGTAAATAAAAATAGGCAGGGCATTGATGTAATTTGGAGAAAATATAAATCCCGCCCGCGTGCAGAGGACAGCGCGAGTGTTCGAGGTAGCTCGAGGAGGATACTATTTCAATTTCTATCTTCTATTTCAATTTTCTAATTTGACTTATTTTTCGTGGCGCACTATATTTTCGTCGGACGAGAACATCAGAAATAGCAAAAGGAAGTCATTTACAAGTTATCCAACTACAAAAGAACAAATTTAGGAGGGAGAGCAATAGGGTCAAGGACATAACTACCGAATAATCTTCAGTTGTGGTGCCAGCACAAGCTGTCAAAACGGTCATAAAATGCATCTAAAAGTGCGGAGCTCGCTTCCGGGCAGCGAGGTGCTGGTGTGAGTGTGGGCGAAACAGCAGCTTCTGATATATAAGAGAAAGAAGGTGCTACAGAAGTGAGTTGTGTAATAGAAACTTCTTGTGGAGAAGTACGTGTCTAGTGAAGTTAATGCCGTTACGTCAGATAAAGCTACGCCCCTGCACTCTGTGAAAATTGAGACATGGAATTGTAATGGAACAATCGCGCGGGCCAGGTTGCAACGCGTAACATTTTATTTAGTATAACGTTGATGAGCACGAAAACAAGGGAGCCAGAAAAAGACATTTTTTCTCTACCTGCGCGGTTTTAGTGAGCACGGGGGCCACAGAGGCTAGATACTGTATTGTTTGCAACAGTGGCGCGCCTTGAGCAACGCTACTGACTCTCTGGGAAATACGCACGCCGACATTCCCACAACGGGAACTCACCGCCGCCGTTTCCGAGAACTCGGGTGACGAACACATTTTAACTGAACTTCGCAAAGTCAAACAGTCACCGATGGCACTGCGATTAAGCAGAGGTCACCACGTAATGTTCGTGATGATCTGCCAATCGCCGCAAAACAAGCCGGGGGAGGACCAATTATCCCCGCTGACCAAGGGAGGTTGCCGCAGCTCACACGCTCGGCCATTCGAGTGTAGGAGGTGAGAGCGAAAAGTTCGTTCTAATGAAAGAGGCAAGGGTGGAAAGTTGGTCATTCTGATGAATCAGGCGAGGTTGGATATTTTTTGCCACTGGAGAACGTCGCTCTAAGCGCTGCCGTATGACGCCAAGCGCCGCTAAAGGGTATTGCCGTGCATCACGAGACGACACGCCGCAGCCGCGCCTATACCGACTCGTCCGAATGCAACGCCGCTGACCCTTCCGGTGTCGCTGGGGCCAGGACGAACACCGAGCAGTAGTTGGAAAAAGTAGGCGTGGCGAGCAATGACTATCTGAGCACCCGACCTCGAGTCCAGGATTCACGACGGGCCGAGGCGCAACCACTGTGCCGTGAACCACGCCGCCGACGCCCGTGTCAAGTGTTGTTAATGCCGGGACGCCACAACGCCACCCGCTGTTCTGACCATCTTACGAAGGGGAGAGGAGGAGGTAAACCAACCGAAGACCCGCAGCGGCAAGCCAGGGCCGCGTTTGCCTGATCGCACTGCACCATACGGCCAGGGGAAAAGACCGCTAGCGTCCTGGGCCACGAGCGTCCTGTCTGAAAGGACAAACATTGGCCCGAATGGGCCGTACAAAAGATAAGTTACATTAAGTTGGTTTTAAATGAAAGACGTGTTTGTAAGGAAAGGCCTCCCCCGGTCTTAGAATGCATATGAAATCCACTTGAAAAACGCAGTAATGTGTTTCAATGCATTTGAGCATGGGAAAAAGCTATATCATGCACGCATCCTATCAGAGTCTGCAGACCGATAAGTCAAGCTACGCTGGATCAGGCAAACAGGTAATCATAGGAGTTGGGTCAGCCATGTGGTTGTTACAGTATTCGTATTTATGCAGAAGATCTTCTCCGTGTAAAAAAACGGCCATCTTGAAAGTAGTTTGAGAAACTATTCTTAGGCAAAATTATTTTTCCTTTTGTAAAGTAGTTGGCGCTATGTGAGGGAAAATTAATTTCGAGCGCAGGACGATTAGGATGTACTGTCTTTGCTGTAACTTCATCCCAAAGAATGATTATAATTGTTTATTTTTGCAATTAGGCGCCATGTTTGAATTAATTTGACTGCCGATGTGTGAACAGACGTGTGGGTATCTCTTGGCCAGTAGGCTCGCTTTCCACTACACGGCACAGGATTCGATTCCCGGTCGATCCAGCACTGTAGTGTGCATTTTCCTTGCATTGTCCCAATGTAAGGGGCGTGGAGATATTTACGTGCTAACCACGCATACCTCCTTGGTCCATGGGCGCGAGGCAGCGACGTTGCTCGTAGGCCTGAGCTCGTTAACGGGCTGTCGCCTCAAGTACATGCATACATGTGTGAAGAAATAGACGCACAGACTTGTTGCAACTCACTGCGTGTAGACATCGCGGAGAACCACTCCGAACGGCTTCCGGAAGAGCAACACATCCTTGAGGTTGCCGGCGACGGGCAGCGGGCGTAGGTACGGCACGCCGCGGCGGCGCCAGTAGCCAAAATGGCGCGTGAAGTAGGCGTAGAGGGCGCCCGCCACGCCCACCAGGAGCGCCACCAGCACCGCCGCGCCCGTCGACAAACTCATCATTTTCGCTCACCTACGCTTCGCTTCGTACGAATACGTTCGTGTACCTTCGCCTGTGTTCGGAACCTCTCGGTTTCACGTGGGGGGCTGCTCACCCTTGCAATCTTCACACGATGAATCTCATGGGTTTCCACTCAACTTCCCGCTGAATTTCGGCTTCATTCGGATGCGGTCGCAGTATTCGGGGATTTCGTTTGCTCTCGGTTTCCTCGTACGACCACTGAAAAAAAATGTACAACAAATGTAAACGGATAAAATACGACATACATAAATAGGTAGTTGTGCTACAGAATCGCACAGGCATTCTCGTATTATTTCTTTAATTTCGTTGAGGGCAACCCATTAATGTTACAGCAGTGATTCTGATCGGGGGGATCCATCCTAGGGTTGAAGCCCCAGTGGTGGCAGAATTTTCGAAACTAGCTTTTTTAAATTATTTATTTGCCCTTGTTCGAGAATGCATTATCTTTAAAGGGGTTAAAGCAACTGCAATGAAAATTAGAGCTAATAAGGAAAACTTACAGACGTACTCTCAGATCATTCAACTATAACTCATTTGTTTGCATAAATATAAATATAACCAATAAGTATTAGCAGAGATTAATTCAGGTTTTTTAAGGAACAATGCTTAGTTCTTGTAAAATTTGATTATATCAAATAAACTATGGATCTTTAAAAATATTTCTTAAGTATCTTTTTTACGTCTAGTTATTGAACTTTTTTTTCAATACCTACTATCCAAAATTGGGTAGGCGTATGTTTATGAAGGGCAAATAATATATTTGAATAGAGATAAGACTGATAGTGTAAATAACTTGAAGCTTTTGTTAATAAATGGATATATTTGAAAATTCGTATGTTCGTTTTATGGGCAATAGCATGTATATAATATGTGTGTACTTTTCTAGTTAATTTTGTGTCAAAATGTAGTTCTAAATATTCTACTGCTTTATTAGAGGTAAGCCAAAGAATTGCTTCACAATTAATAATTACGGGGTTGGTAGAAGAAATTCGTCTTAAGGAAAAACATTGCTTGTGATCTTTGAGGATTAATTTGAATTTGCAAGTTGTTATACCAAGAAATTATAGTTTTTAGTTCGTATTGTAAAGATAATTGAAAATTGCAGTATCATAAGCCTAAAACTCTATTTCAGAATTTGTTGTATTGGGAAATCAATATTCTTAATTCACGTAATAAACCATTGTGACAAAATTAGCCAAATGCTTTTTTTATATCGAGAAATATAGCGAAACTATATATTTTTTTGAAACCCGTAGCAATGTAGTTTGATATACGTAGCAGTTGGTGAGTTGTAGAGTTATTATGTCTAAAACCAAATTGAGAATTAGGTAAGAGATTCCTTTATTGAATAAATTTAATTTAACAAGATAGAATTTTTTTCTTAAAGAGTTTAGTAAAATTGGAGAATAAACTGTTGGAACAAAAATTTTCTGGTTAACTTTAGTTTTTGTTGATTTTGGAAATTTTGTAAATTATTATGCGCAAATGCAGTGTTAGCGGTAGGATTATTAGTAATAGACAATTGAAATTGTTTTGCATCAATATCAGCTTTCATCTGTGATTGCAGCAAAATTTGTATGTTTTAGATTTTCCATTTGGTACCTTTTATTCGTTCAATAGCAGGCCAGGAGGTGTTAGGTTGAAGGTGAGATAAACATATATTATATTTGATGAATGTGTATTTATTTAATTTAACTTTGATATAGTGAGTTAATTTATTTTGTACCTTTTTATTTGTGAACCCCGAGACACCTGTAATTTACAAGTTGTATGTTTAAGTGATATTATATTGAGTATTTTTTTAGGTTTTGTGCCTGAAAAATATTACTTATATGATTGGGAAAGCATTTGCAGAAACTGCACAAAAAAGTACTTCCTATCGCGTTTCTGTGTTCTCTTGAGAAGAAGGGATTTTGAAAAGACATCCAATCGACACGATAAACACCTCAGCATAAACATATTATATATTGAATTTCCTGTCAGTATTAGCTAGTTGTGGCGAACAGCAATCATTCTTATCACTTGTAATTTTATTGCGATTCCACGTACGCACATCTTGCGTAAAACGCTTTAGAAATGTAACGCGAACTTGTAGTAATAATATAACTTAAAATCTTTTTTTTCGTAACCAAAATGCGTGCAACTTAATTGTTTTTTTACGATCGAAAGGGGCCACCACGACACTGCTCGGCTCGTCTCATTTTGAAACATTAGGCCGCTGGTGTATTATTGGAAAAGCGTTTGATTCCTGGAATTTGTCGCCGATGCATAGGATGTCGGAGCAACGGTCAGGAGTAGGCGATTCTCTCGGGCATCCTCGAGAGCAGTTCAAAGTCTGTTTCAATTAGTTTCAACAAAATGAATTCTGTCTCCTTGTGTGTATGTTTGTGTAAGAAAGAGGAGAGAGAGAGACAGCGAGAGAGAGAGAGAGAGCGATAGAGAGAGAGACAGCGATAGAGAGAGAGAGACAGCGATAGAGAGAGAGACAGCCATATAGAGAGAGAGACAGCCATATATATAGAGAGAGAGCGATAGAGCGACAGCGATAGAGAGAGAGAGAGAGAGCGATAGAGAGAGCGCGAGAGAGAGCGCGTTTTGGAGGCAAATTGAGAGTTGTAAAAATGAGTTCGTAGTGTGGCGCCAAATTTGAATTAATTTGGGTACCTATGCTAACATTAGGTAAGGAATTAATACTAGATTTTTGGTAATTTTTATGTGTCATTAGTGAAAATTTTATAGCATGTTCAATTATATTCAGTACATTTAAAATTTATAACCAATTTGGAGAGATAGATAAAGACAAAGGGGATGAAGTAAGTAATTTCATAGTAGCATGAAAAGTGTCCCAATTGGTTTTGCCTGTTATTATAGATTGTTAAGTTTTAGTAATTGTGAGTATCATATAAAATAGGTAACACAGGATGATGAGCGAATTTGGGGCTGGTATATCACATTGGAACACAGGAAGATTGAAATTATGTTTCAATGGTTACATGATAAGTAGCCTACATTTTAAAGAATGTTTTTCAAAATTGCTGAACTTCGAGTCTAGACTAGACCGACCAGAATATATAATTTTGTAAACAATGTCTGCAAATTGTTTAAACGCGCACATAGTTGTGCAGAAACAAACGGACGGTCATTATAAAGAAATGAAAAAACAAACCTATTCGGTTTAAGGGTACCCAAAAATGTGTATTTCCGTTGAATCATAGAAATATATTTTCCGCAGCAGCATTTCACTTTCTTAGTGCTATGCATATTACGCTGTATATACGTATGTATGGTATACGACAAAGTAATAGTGTATCTTTGCGTTATCTGTCAATTGACTGTAGGAGTCAAAAATTTCAGACCCACGGCCTGGCATTGCGCATCAAACACAGATATATATTTTAGGAGACTGTGGTGAAGAGTTTCTTAACATTCCCTGATTACTCAATTTGGTGCAGCTCTACAACACAAAGCTTCACTAAAATAACAACCCATTATCAATAACAATTGCATTGAAAGCTCATGATAAAGAGAGCGAATTCTTGTATTTTTTAAAAATACCCACTAACACATCTCTCAGGAAATAGTAAAGCAGTAAAAACAAACATATATTTGCATAGCTCCTTGACACATACGCATAATTAACTCCGTTTCTTGTGAAATGCTCACTAGCTACACGAACATCTCTATTAACACAGGTTCGCAAATTGCAATGAGGAAAAGAGCAACAATGCGAGAATGAGAAAAATGATTAAACACGCGTGTTTAATAAAACGTTTACGATGGACGCAGATTGGAATTTAATGTACAGATAAAGATAACTCCCATACTAAGGGAAAATAGTACTACTTAAAAATATTAGCAGTGATTTGTTTTTAATTTGTAATAACCATTTGATCACGGAGTTATATTTTCCTTCGCATTAGGCAAGGATGTTCTTTGAGTTCATTGAAAGTGACAAAAATGTAGAATGTGTTACTCGAGTCAGTTCTACTGTTCAGAAAACAACTAGTAATAATAAGTGAACGAAAAAAACAATGATTAAGATTTGGCAAAACAAACACCAACTATTCGAGTCCGAAATATTAAATTTGACATTCCTTGGACGTTTTATTTTGGTATTGTGAGTTTTTGTTGGCCTTTCCAATGAAATAATTATATCACAGCAGTCACACGTCATTACACAGCAGATAAGAAAAGAAGTACCTCTCTTATCTGCTGTGTACCTTAAGTACATTAAGTACCTTAAGTTACCTTTTCATGTTTTCAGTTTCAAAATTTCACATGTTTTAATTCAATTTCTGTCACTTTCTTGTTACTTGTTTCCATTACTTTCTTGTAATAGTAGATGATCTAAAAACTTATATATATATATATATATATATATATATATATATATATATATATATATATATATAATTGAAGATGGAAAGTAACTTCGGTAATGGAAGGTGGCTTGCTGTATTATTATAGTAGTTATGGCGTTTTGAATATTTATGACTTGAAATTTATTTCACCGAGTAATAGTAATTCGATTATGATTGTTTCTAAGAATGTTCAGAATTTTTAGGAAGTTTTACCTCCCGGACACATTTTATGAATCCATAAAATGATTTCGTCCTGAGAAAGGCTATACTGAACTCTGAAAAAGTAAATGTCTAAAATCGAAATAAATGTTGAAAATACATGGTGAATTTCAGTATTTTTGATAATGTAACAATATTATCAATTATTTTCAGGTAGTAACTATGATTACAAAATACATTTTCATTTTAGGAATTTCAATTATTATTTTGCTGTTAATATTGTTTGTACACACAACGCATGATATTTGAGATCATCGATTGTATGGCTACTCTTATATGGGTCGCAATTAAAATTATTTCTAAGTTTATGCATGTGGAGATGGTACATGTGGGCTGATGATAGGGCTTATTTGTGTTCTGTCAAATTCTAACAGCCTTCATGCAGCTCGTTGCGTGTATTT